GCTCATAGTGGTGGTTGTCGGTTAGAGAATCTCCCACAAAAGTTATATTACTTTTATATTTAAGGAAAGTTGAGTTTGTTATTGCTTTATCTTTAACGAACTAAGTTGTTTACACTGTTTTACAAGCTTTATATATATTGTATGTGTCTTATTTCTTTATATTGAGTTAAGTTGTTCTTGAGTTAAACAGAGCCAAGGTAAGTGTTCATTTGTACTCCTTTCAAGCTTAAGTTGTGGTTTAGGATTCCAACTAGCATACTCGTACATTCAATGAACTGATGCCAGTTGGCCTGCATCTTATTATGATGCAGACACAGGTAACCAGGATCAGCATCCAGTGCGCCATTGATCCAGTTGAGCACTCCAGAGTCAGTGGTGAGCCTCCTTACATTCCGGAGGACTCTTTTCTTTCGCTTTCCTAGTTTTTTTTCTTTATTAGGATGTTGTGGGGTCTGTCCCAACATCCATATCAGTATTATAGAGGCTTCATAGACAGTCAGACAGTTAGTATGGAGTCTCTCATCTATGTATTTGTAGATACTTTGTTTTGAGACATAAGTTGCCATTTTGGCTAAGATGTTATCATTCAAACTATTGTAATGAGTTTATTCTGTTGAGTTAAGTCTTCTGCTGAGTTAAGTAAGCTAGGCCAAGGGTCCGCTTGGGGCCAACGATGGTCTCCGAGTGCTGGCCACGTACAGGGTTTAGGCTCGGAGCATGACAAACTTGGTATCAGAGCACAAAGTTCAAGAGTCCTAGGGAGTCTGTGAAGCTGTGTCTGTAGGGTCCTAGTTATCGGTGTGAAGTGCGCCACATCTATAATTAGGAGGCTGCAACATTTAGGAAATTCTTCACTTCCTTCATATCGATTTCGTGCGTTAAAGTATATCTCTAAAAGTTTCCTTCTAATTCGTGCTTGTGCGTGTTTCATATAACCATGCCTCCACGAAGAGCAGCACGAGTTCGTCCAGCTAGGAGAAATGTTGAACCACAAGAGCAAGGGGTACCTAATGCACCAAACGTGCAACCTCAGGGCAAGGTCACTAATGCTAAATTCCATGAGGCTATCCGGATGCTGAGCCAAGCTATGACTAACCAGGTTGGGCAATCAAGAGGACCAAGGCAAGATGATGCTGACACTTCAAGGATTCGCGAATTCTTGAGAATGAATCCTCCTATTTTCACTGGTTCGGTCACCACTGAAGATCCAGAAAATTTTGTTGAGGAACTGAAGAAGGTTTTTGAGGTGATGCATGTTGCTGATGCAGGAAGGATTGAACTAGTTGCATATCAACTGAAGGATGTTGCTAGAACATGGTTCGATCAGTGGAAGGGGGTAGACCTGAGGATGCACCACCTGCTAGTTGGACTTGTTTTGAAAAAGCCTTCTTGGGCCGTTTCTTTCCCCGAGAACTGAAGGAGGCTAAGGTACGAGAGTTTCTTACACTGAAACAGGATTCCTTGAGCGTGCATGAGTATGGGTTGAAGTTCACCCAACTGTCCCGCTATGCTCCTGAAATGGTTAAGGACATGAGGAGCAGAATAAGCTTGTTTATTATTGGCTTGGGTCGTCTGTCAAGCAAAGAGGGCAGGGCAGCGATGCTGATAGGTGACATGGACATATCAAGGTTGATGGTTTATGTGCAGCAGGTTGAGGAAGAGAAGCTGAGAGACAGGGAAGAGTTCAGAAGTAAGAAAACGAAGACAAGGAATGATTCTGGGTAGAAGAAAGGCAATAGGAATCATTCGTCTTTTCAGCAGAAGCAAAATAGGCCTGCTCCATCATCTGCTAGTGCACCTACACCTCGAAACAAAGGCAGATATTATGGTCAGAATTCGCAGAACTTCAGATCTAAACCAGCGCAGTTCCAGGGTAGTGTGGCACAAGGAGGTAGTTGGGCTCCTGCATGTGTTAAGTGTGGGAGAACCCACCTAGGTAAGTGTCTTGATGGCTTGACAGGTTGTTTCAAGTGTGGACAAGAGGGACACTTCTTGAAAGAGTGTCCTAAGAATAAGCAAGGTAGTGGAAATCCAGGCAATAGAGCCCAGTCTTCATCAGTTGCTCCACCAGACAGGGCTGCACC